CCCTCGGGGAAGGGGGCCTGAGACCGAGGGGCCCTGTGTCCCTTGGGCAGCATCTCAGCTTGCCCACGGGGCGACGGGGCTGGTCAGCGCTGGGCCCGGCTGGCTGTGCTCACCGCTCTTGCCCAGCCAGGCTGTCAGGGAACCCGCCCTTTTACGAGGAGGTGGAGGAGGACGACTACGAGAACCACGACAAGAACCTGTTCCGCAAGATCCTGGCCGGCGACTACGAATTTGACCCCCCTTACTGGGATGACATCTCGCAGGCGGGTGAGGCCCCTCGCCCTAGAGACGCTGTCCTGCGGGAGAGCCGCGAACGCCGGCTCCACGGGGCCAGTCCTCTCCCGTTGGACGGTGACTCCACCCCCATCCCCTCCTCCACCAGCCCTGCCCCCCGGTCCTGTTCGCTGGGACGCCATCCCTTCCCTCTCCCCAGCCAGCGCCGCGGGGCCGGTGGGTGTCCGGAGAGTGGCTGTTCCAGGGGTGAAGGCCCAGCCCCCATCCCCAGCTGCCCTGGGAGGGCGAGGAGTCCGGAGCAGCCCCGGGGGGAGCAGTGACCAGTCCTGCACTGACCTTCCCACTGAGGGGTTGACAGAGCAGCCAGCCGTGGGGCTTTGGGCTCCTTTGCTCTCCTCCATGCCTCGCCAAGCCCGGCCCGGCCCCTCTGGCTGAGAGCCAGAGCCCGAGGGGCCCAGCCCCCATCCCCAGCTGCCCTGGGAGGGCGAGGAGTCCGGAGCAGCCCCGGGGGGAGCAGTGACCAGTCCTGCACTGACCTTCCCACTGAGGGGTTGACAGAGCAGCCAGCCGTGGGGCTTTGGGCTCCTTTGCTCTCCTCCATGCCTCGCCAAGCCCGGCCCGGCCCCTCTGGCTGAGAGCCAGAGCCCGAGGCCCCTCTCAGGCCGTGTGGCCAGCCCCACCTCAGCACCTTCCTCCCGCTTGCTGTCCCGCAGCCAAGGAGCTGGTGACCCGCCTGATGGAGGTGGACCAGGACCAGAGGATCGCAGCCGAAGAAGCCATCTCCCACGAGTGGTACGGCCATGCGGGCGAGGGGCCTTCTGGCAGGGATGGAGGGGACATGGGCCATGAGGGAGCCCAGCGCCACCTGCCGGGGCCAGGGGAAGGGCTGGGTGCAGGCTGGAGGTGGCAGGGCTCGGGGTGGGGCAAGCAGAGAGCGGGCGAGGGGCCGGGAGGGCAGGTGGCTGCCAGTTGTTAGCTCGTGTTCCCGCCTGCAGGATTTCTGGCAACGCCGCCTCAGATAAGAACATCAAGGAGGGCGTGTGTGCTCAGATCGAGAAGAACTTTGCCAGGGCCAAGTGGAAGGTACGTGGCCCGCGCCCTGTGCCGTGCCCATCGGGGGGAGGGGGCCGGTCTGGGAGCGCACAGGTCAGCGGTCAGTTCCCAGCTGCGCCACAGACCCCGGGCCAGGCGCCGAACCTCCCCAGGGTCCCGGTCCTCTCTGGGCCAGGCAGCGTGGGGTGGGGAGAGGCCTCGCAGTGACGGGTGCAGGGAAGACAGGAGGGCCAGGGGGACACCAAGACCAAGAGGTCTCTGGGGTCCCGCTCACAGGCAGGACTGCTCCCGCTGCGGCCCACAGCCCTATGGCTGTCCAGGGAGCTGCCAGGAAAGATGGGGGGGGCTGAAACCAGGCCAAGCCAGACCCTTCACTCTATTTCCTGGCTCTCTGATGCTTGGGTCTCACAGACCCTCTGAAAGCAAGGCCCTGCCTCAATTTCCCCAGAGTTTGTCAGACACTGACTTCCAGCACTGGCCCATCACTGTGGTGACTGGGCCCCCTGGAGAAGTCTGGTAACCGGGTGCATGGTCTGTCCTGTATCCCCTTAACAGCAGGGGTCACTGCACCCTTCACCCCACAGCCTGGGGAGAGTCTGCGCACCCCCGCTGCAGGTATCCAGAGCCCCAGCAACTGGGCTGTCAGTCCCTTAGTCAGAGCTACCCGGGGTCCATCTCAGAGCTATTCCTTATGTGCGCGCCCTCAGGCCTGCCTGGGGTCCTCTCCTCCACCTGGGCAGGTGAGCTGGGCGTGGCTCAGCTCAGTCCAGCCTCCTTCAAGGGCCAGCTCAGCCCAGGCCTGCTGTGCCTCTGCTGCCTGGGGGCAGAGTCCCTGCGGCGGGGGGGCCCCCAGCAATGGGGGAA